CTTTAATGCAAGTTTTAATCATGTGGGTTGTCATAGTGAAATTACTCCAGTCAAGTATGTAAGACCCTTTCATGATCAAGAGAAGACCAAAATATGACAGAAAATTATGATTGAAGATTAGTACTATATTACCTATCATGAACTTGGAGTGAACATAAACCATGAATCTCCGATTCTTTTGAGCATTCCAGTATTGAGTTTCAGGTTGGGGTGAATCTAGTGGAAGATACTCTCCCGGTCCCTTCTGCTCCCTGTTTGCAAGACAGAAGAAATTCAAGTAGTCTCTAGGGTGTCCCTGTTGCTCACTTTCTTGTATTGCTTCTCCAATCAACCTATACATCATTGCCATTGTTTCTCTAGTCCAATGCAGTATATCTTGAACAGGTTCACTTTCAGGTTCTCCTTCTGGCCACATTGGTATGACTATGTACACAGCAAATCTCTCCTTTGCCTTAATCTTACTTACCACCTTCAGTGCAATTTCAATGGGAATTAGATTAGTACAACCACAGTGCCTATCTTTCTTCCACCAATGGCATCCTCCAATGAAATACTGGCTTTCAATGTATATAAACCTTTCAGCACGCCTAATTGCTTCAACATAAGCTTCATGGATGCTCCTCTCCACAGTTGACTTTGTAGACAACTCACTAACTGAGATATGATCAATTGACCTGTATATTTGAACTTTCCAATTCCTCTCCCTAGGAATGCTTGAGCTTGTCTTTGGCATAAGATTTGACAAGGTGCTAGAAGGGATTAGAAAAGAAGGATCACACTGTTTTGTCCATCTTTGCTCAAAATTGGCTAGCACATCCCAAGCAGCCTCACCAATAACACAAGCATGAGCATCATGCCAAGGCGCCCTTGGCCCTCCTTTGTTGAGGCTAGCTTCTTCAATGCTTGTTTGGTAGAAATCATAACAATGAGATTCTCTAATGAGTGTTTGAAACAATGAATGCTGCTCTGTGTCATATCTTCCATCACACAAATCCAACCCACCCACAAAGCTCATTAGCTCTCTGTCATCAACAAATTTGGAAGGTTTTGTGTCCACTGTTATAGTCTTCTGATGGTGAGCAAAGAGTGTTGGGAACATGTGGTGTAATCTGGGGCACTTTCTGCATATTACTTTTGTGTGGTTGAAAAAAGCAAAAGCTTCCTCATCTTGGTTGTTCAACTCGCCTTTGTTCTTCACAAAGGGTAAAGATGTTTCATCATCCCAAAGCATAACCCTCACAGCCACTCCTTCCTCTGCCTTCTTCTTTAACAGGTCACCTAACTTAATTCCTCTGGCATGTGGGATTTCTGTGTGAGGATCTCTAACCTGTCAAAGAGCATATTAGCTTCTAAAACAAAAATGTATATCAATGTGAAAGGGGATTGTATCCTCTCATATACATGATGTCATGTTCAAATTTTGTGGCTCAAGGAGTTCCTATAAAAACAACTATAAATCCTCTATCAACAAATTCTTATATCAACAGTGAAATTTGAAATCACATCACTGTTGGATAAGTTTTATCCTTACTAACTTGACCAACTTCTCGTATAAGTTTAAAAAGTCATGTGAAAATCCTGCAGAATTTCTTACCAGAACCATCATGGGATTGAAGGACCAGCCTACAATATAAACTAAATACTTTGCACCCTCAATGGCTTTATAGACATCCTCCCATAGCTTCTTTGGAGCTCCACATAGATCAAATGGAGGTTGAAAAGCTGAAGAATGGTGAGCATCATGATAAAGTTTAACCTGACAGTTGGACCTTAGAGGAAAGCTAGCCTCCTTCAGCCCTTGAAACTCCCAGTCATTGCTCAACATCTTTGCCCAACTTGGTTCCAAATCTGCTGGCTTGAACCAAAGCATAAACTTCAACTTAAGTTTTGTGTTTGGTTTTCCATTATCCATGAGGAGTGGGAACAACCCGTTGATCAAACCTCCTTTCTTCAACAGCTGCTGAGCCTGAATATGGAACTTCCCCAGTATGGAAGAATGTGATGTTTTCAGTGTAATGGTGATGCATGAATCAGCTGGATGAGCACACTGAATCTGAAAGGTTTGGTTCCACACACGGTTGCTTTCTTCACTGGTTTTTGCAAAATTTTGGTTGTCTATCTTTATAGTCACATAAGCAGGCTTTCCATTTCTGCATAAACACTGGAAACAAGAAAAACGATGAAAACAAAAACATAAAATCAAAACATGCCATGATTTATAAGAACAAAGCAGAATTTTCAGTGTAGTGTATTCAAAACACTGAACACTTATATATGTACACAACTGAAAAATAACATTTGTGTAAAGGTTAGGAGTTTCAATGTTAGTGGAACTTACATTGAAGGGAAATAAAGGTGAGTAAGGTGAGGCATTGAAGATGGTAGCTTCAATTGTTCCATGGAGGAGCTTAGGAGTTTCCTCCACGGCTGTAATACTTAAAATATTCATAAGAAAGTGAGAGACAGAGAACTATGCAGTTTGGTTTAACATATGATGGATTTCATATCAATTTTCAGTGACTAATTGTTATGTTACACTTTTATAGGTGGCTGAGTCTACTAGTGCAGATGAAGAAGCAAAGGGAACCTTGGAATGTAATTGAAAGTTGGAAAACTTGTGTAACTTTGCATTTATGCAGACACAATCCAAGCTTCAAGTATTTGCCATCACAAGTTTTAGCTTGAAGCTAAGTTTCTTGAACCCAAATCTCAATTTACCGTAATCACAAAGTAGTTAAAGACAAAAACAAAATACAGTTATCCACTGTTCTTAGTACATTGACAGCATCATACACTGATCAATCAACAATAATGTAGCTTTCTAAGGAGGATAATTACTGTTAGGATACAAACAAAGTCTCACGTTAGATAAAAACAAAAGATAAAAATGAGTTTATATACACACAAAATATTTCTATTAAGAGGCTTTTTCGAGTGATATAAAAACAAATCCGTGAAAGCTTGGCCCAAAACGAACAATATCTTATCAGTATGGAATTTTGTTGTCCTTCCCTACAATTAATGCATAATTATGCAAATTTGCATAAACGTTTACACATGAAATGGATAAGTTGGTGAAGGGCCTTGTGGAATTGACACTTTGTTAACAGAATGATTGTAGAGTGCAAGGAACTTGGAGGAAAAAAAAATGAAGTTTTTCCTTATGTCATATCACCATGCTTTGGCATATATCTACCACAGACCAAAGAAATTGAGTTGCATGAATATTACGTATTGTTTGTGGGTTGTTAGAAGGAAACATAACATGGGTTTGTTTAGCATCACCTAACGCATAAGCTACTCAAAATTGAAAAATTAATCAGCAGAACTTAGAAACTAAGCTCAAAAGTTAGATTGATTCAATTAGAACTTAGGTGTGTGATAAATTATAGTTTAGCAACTTCTTAGTTTAAAAAATGTTTTATTTTGATGAGTATTTATTATTATTTTTTTTCAATTTCTGTCAGTCACAGGTCACTTGATTAGGGTGAGAATCAGAATTATTTTTTTATGTAAGAATTGAAAAAAATTATATTTTCAGAGACCAAAACAAAATCAGCGCTATATTATATGGACTAGAAGGTTAGTTGATTTTAAAATTAGTTATTGAATCAGTTTTTAAACGTAAAATGGTAGAGAACAACATATTAGCTTCCAAAACTCAAAATTTGAGAATTATATACACTTTTTTTTCATGTTTTAATTATATCGAATTATTTATCATCTTTATTAGAATAGCGAATTTTTTTTAATTTTATTTCGCTTAGATGTTTCTATTAAATGAACCATGATACTAAGAAAGTATATTATTGTTTTGAATTTTTTATCGTGTACACATTTTTATTGAATTGCTCTCAAGAAATTGGAAATCTATTTATCTAGAAATAATAAATCTTCTAATATTTATTAGCTTTTTCTCTCTTTTTTTTTTTTGCAATGTTTAATCCGACTCATTTTTATCATTATTCACTTGAGCCCATTTTTCCAAGGTTTCAATTGTCTTTTTCTTTCTGCAACCCCCTTTATTACTATTTTCACTCCTTATTAAAATAAAAAGACGAAAATATCCTCACATTGCACCACGTCACCACTACTATGGATGCACCTTTATTCTCCACCGTTGAGAAAGAAGAAGAGAAAAATTTATTTAAAAAAAAAAATCTGTTCTAGAACACATTAAATGTTTTAGAGAGCTTATTCTAAAAGAATGGGTTTCTAAAAGTATTATGAATGTTCAAGAAATTCTTTTATTAAAAACTTGTTCTAAAATACATTTAATACGTTTCAGAAACTTTTTCTTGAAACCATATTCCAAAAATTGCATTCTAGAGATCGTGTATGAAAGATTTCCAGATCAATTAATCCGAAAATCATTTTCACGAATGTTAAAATTGTCATTTTAAAAGTATGTGGGTGCAGCTAGAAATTATGGGGTGGAGTAAAACAAATCTTCCATCCCTATTGCTTGTTAAAGATGTCACACTTTTGCTTCCTGCACCATCATTACTATATTGTTTGTTATACATTATCATTGATTGAAAATTTTAAAAATTTAATTTGCACTTGTTATGTCCATCACCCATTTGGGAAAATGTCTAAAAGTGCTTTTCCTTTATTTAGCTGTTGCCTTCAGAAGTAATTTGAGGCTTTATTCGAGTTCTTTCTTCTTTTCTTGTAATTTAGGTTTATTATAGTTAGAAATCCAAGCAAAAGTCTGAATTTCAAATTGAGTGAAAACAAGAAAATTAACAAAATATAATGAAAAAGAAACATATCAAGTATGAGGTAGAAATGTTGGTATACCAATTCAAAGTTTGTATCTCATTGACTCTTGATGAAACGCTCATCCTTATTGTAAGCATGTCTTTTTCCTATCTTTTTGGTTCTCATAGCACCAATCTAAATCCAAGAATAGATATTAGTAATTACTTATTTAGTTTTATTATTCGTGATTGCAATCAGAGATGAGAAGAATGAGGGAGACACAAAAAAAGAATTGTAAAAAATATCTCAATCTTTCTTCGGCAGTGCAAAAAATTATTAAAACAGCAATTGAAGTTGAATGTCTTTGATTCAATCTTAAAATAAACACTTCAAAATATGGTACTCTATCCCCTTGGTGCAGCACAGAAATATAAAAGTCCTACAAGAAATAATGAAAAAGTAAGTCTCAGTTTAACATGAGTTTGGATATTTTTTTCAGATTTGGGATATATATTCTGAGCATCTATGCTTCATCAATGCATCATATGGCAGAATATAGCTAGATTATGTTTGGACAAACATTTGGCAGCTAATAAGATCATGTAATCATAGTTGATGCATGACAGAGTCTGTGCTGCTTAAATCTCTAAACTACTACAACTATATTGAACTAGAAAAATAGAGGTAGTGGATCAATTGTGTAATTAAGACAATAGTGAAAGCAACTTTTACAATGCTTGATTAATCCCTTTCTCATTCCTTTGCTGGAGATCATACTGAGGGAAGAAATAAAAATGACTTACCAAGTATAGAACATTATGGGGGGTAAGGCTTACCATAGATGACTTAGCCTTGGCATATGAACCAATGGGAGAATCAGTTGAAACTTCCCCTTCAGCATAAAGTTGTTGCTTCCAATCCACATGGAGGGGTAGCAAAATTCCCACTTATAAATAGCCACAATTTAAACACCAACAATGGATAATCTGAACCCTTAATTTGACCCCAAGTGGTACATATTAGCCCATATTGGGATGAACATAGAGACCAATAATGTAGCAAAGAAAACTCTGAATGATTACCTGCATAATACACATTGATCAAATGGGTCACAAGTGAACAAACTAGGATCAATGTGCAGAGTTTAAATAGTATGAAATATAATATGGATATGCAACAAACTTTGTCTTAGGATTTTGTATTATGTCCTTATGGTTTAAGATATTTTGTTTAAAAGTTTCACATTAATTTTTGTTTGGGTATGTGAAAAACAATACATTTGTCATCTCTTTTGGTGAATAACCAGATAAAAGAGAACATCAATATACATGCACAAACTAATCTAAATCATAGAAATTGTGCTTTGTTTTATTCAACAGTGTGAAAGTTTTGTTGTTCTTTAAAACTTCAACAAATTAACGGTTACCATCAAGAACTATATTTTAACAGAACTAGGAAGACATGGTTGTGAAGCCTTTGTGAAGCCTAGGATGAATAGAAAAAGAAAAGGAAAGAAGCTAGAGGCAATAATAAATATCTTAGACAACCAAAAGAAAAGGCAAAAGATTTTGACAACTTGGAGATGAGATTCCAACATGTACACACTGGCCTGGACCTTTCTTAGGTCGTTAATAGCTTGTCGTGGCGTCATGATTTGCCGTCCCTATTCCCTACAGAGTGGAGTGTGGTCTGAATTATCCACTGTATGGTCCAACTTAAGATTATCCTTTTACATGGTTTGTATCCCACTTTTGGTCTCTGTCATGTGCAATACTACAAATACAAAACAACAACTTGGTTTTACATGAAACATGGACATCAAAAACATGATATATATTGTTTCTCACCTCTACTATCTATACTTCTTTTTTCAATAGAAAATTGGTAACCATGACCATGTTTGTGTTTGCGTAGTTTGCCTTGATCAACTATTCTGTGTTTTTACATTCACCAACCACCAACTTTCATCACACTTCAACTCTCCAATGTAAACATCTCCCAATAAAGTAGTAACCATGGAAGTGCAAGATTAGATTTCTCACCTCACGTTTCAGCCAAGGAAGAAACCAACACCAACCTCCTTCCAAATAACAATGTCTTCACTCTTTTGGAGCCAACACCATCCTCCACCATTTTTGTCAATCATAAACTTGGACTCGCCTGCAACCAAATGCAAATCCACTAGCTCAAACCAAACTCACATCAAATGATACACCCAATCATCCCATAATAATTCACCCAATATTAAGAAAAACAGCAACAAAGTCACAAATGAGTAGGACCCAACCCCTCCTATAATTATCAAACCCCAGATCCCATTTCACAGTCTCACTCAAATAACCACATTCCCCTTCACTTCTCATAGGTTATTAACAGTAGAAAACCCTAAGAACTAAGAAAAGCAGAAAGCTTGAACTGAAACATGACAACAACCTACGGCACGATTCCGACCGCGGGGCCTCCGAACCTGGAATACATATCGCGTGCAAAGCAGCGGATCAAGGCGGGGTTGGGGACGCGGCGGCCGTGGAAGGCCATGCTGAACTTCCGCTCGCTGAAGGTCCCCGGCGGCGGCGCGGCCGAGGCGCTGTCACGCGTGGCGGTGAACGTGTCGTACTTCCGCATGAACTACGCGATGGTGGTGCTGCTGATTCTCTTCCTGAGCCTCCTCTGGCATCCCATCTCGCTCATCGTCTTCCTCCTCCTCATGGCGGCGTGGCTCTTCCTCTACTTCCTCCGCGACGAGCCCCTCGTACTGCTCGGCCACCTGGTCGACGACCGCCTCGTACTCGTCGCCATGGCCATCCTCACGGTGGCGCTGCTGCTGCTCACCGACGCCACCGTCAACATTCTTGTGGCCGTGGCAGTCGCCGTGGTGGTGGTGGTGGCGCACGCCGCGTTCCGGAGGACGGAGGACCTGTTCTTGGGGGAAGAGGAAGAAGCTGCTGCGGCGGCCTTGGTTGGTGCTGCTTGATTCTTTGTTTTCTGTATAATTTTTTTTGTTGAATTCGGAGAAAAAAAAAATGGTTATTTGATTAGATTTGGTTCAGTTCTATCGTTTGTTGTTGCATTTTTTCGGAAGATGATGGTAATTGAATCCATTTTTTTTCCTCTGTTTTCATATTTTGTTCTAACTTCGTGTTGTGTTGAGAAGTGTGACATCTAAATTGGTTTAACTGAAATATGAAATTTGTATGTTTGGGAGGGAAATTATGTGGCGCGGTTATGTTCATTGATCGAGCTACAAGACCACACTTTAAATAGTGAAAGTTTTTATATTTTTTTTCCTTCATTATTTTTTCTATCGTTTATTTATTTTGTACAATTTTAACTCTCTATCAATAAAATATTTCATCAATTCTTTAACAAATTAAAAAACGATGTTATTTTTAAGATGTAATTAAGACTTCATTTTTAAAATTATTAAATATGTTTTTAATTTATAAACTTTTACATAAAATTAGAATGATACATTTTTGATTCTCAAACCTAAAAAAGATAATAAATACTATTATTTTAACTCAAGTGCATTAAAAAAAGATTTACATACCAAATACAATTTAAGATAATATTTAAGTTGTTTGAACAATTTAAAAATGTTTCCTCTCAAATGTCAAACACAATTTATTTAACTCCAAAGTTTTTATTAAAAAGTAAACAAAAATTTACTTACATTCTAAAATAATAAAAAATTATGATGATAATATGGAATAAACCATGTTGGTCAATCCATAAATTTGTTAGAAAAAACGTATAAATTGAGTATTTTAGTTTGTTTAGACTCGTTTTTGTCTAGCATACAACAAAGACTAATAATGAAATAGGACGAATAGTAAAAATATATAAATTTTAATCTTTAAATTTAGACAAAACTCTTTTATTTTATCTGCTTGTACTTGAATTCTTGTGTTCTTGCCTACATTATATATTAATTAATTATTATAGTTTTCTTTTTCAGTTTAGAAAATAATTTTTTGTTTCTTTGATTGTATAAGATTTAATTTTGACATATTTATTTTATGTGAATATAGTATGTTTGTTTAATTTAATTTACTTTTGTTGTGAGATGTAGAATCAGGAAAAAAAAATGAAATATTAAAAAAAAAATATTCTTGCAACACTATAAAACACAAATATAAGAAAATAGTGTTAAAATAGTCATGAAAAAAGAAAAGTATCATTCATACTTGTAACTTCATCAACCATGAAATTCATATTTGGAATGTACAAGGACATTTTTTTAAATAAAGATTTTACATATTGTAACTATAAATGTGGAGCCTAAATTCTAAAGCAATAGACTATAAGGTAAAGGGAAATAAACAATTTAAAATGTTTTTAAATAAAGTATATCTTGCAACTATAAATATTTTTTTTTAATTTTATTTATCCATTTATTAAATGTAGATCTATCAATTTGACCCATGATCCCGGGACTAGCCTAACCCACTCTTGAAAAAGTCCTCAAATGGGAGTCAAAAAAAAGCTCCAACCCCCAAAGCCCCCTCTCAAGGGGTTTAGGGTTAGGGTTAAGGTGGGTTTAGTCCCACTAAAATTTTTTTGGAAACTAAACTTCAACATTCTCATAGTAACTATTAAAAGTACTAAATTTTATATTTATATAATTGATTTCTTATTTCAAATTACTAAATAAAACTAATTAATTATAGTATAATAATAGAATATTTAATATTCAAAATAACCACTTTTTTAAATAATTAAAAACAATTGCAAACCACACACTTAATTTTATACAACTAAATAGTATTACAAATTTATTTTACTAAAATATTATAAAAATGCTTTATTTTGTTGTCAATTTTAATACAATTATGTCTTATAGTGCAGACACCAATTATTGGAAAATTATATATAATTAGTAATATCAAAATAACCTCAAGAGATAATAACATATTAAATTGATTTAATATTTGCATTGCTTTTACAGTTTTTAAAAAGAATCACTGTTTTGTTTCCTTGACTTCTAAAATTATTTAAATTTATTTAAAATTAATATTTATAATTATTTAAAATTAAAAATAATTCAAAAATTTATTATCTAAATTTTTTGGATAAAAAATAGTATTAATATTTTATGTGTAAATTAAACTTATGTTTTATTTTGTTTTTTTCTCTCTGATCATTTTTTCTCAAAAAATTTATAAAAAAAAATGAAAATTTTAAATAGACTTAAAGTACTAAAGAATGACAAATGTTATAGTGTTTCAATTCTTTAACTAACACATTAAATAATTTATTTTTAACTTTCAATTAGAACACATAACATAAATGTATGTTTATGACATTTAAAATGGAGTAGTACGATAAGATTGAATCCTATAGGCGAATACAACTGCAGCCTGCACAAGGTTTATGAGTTTTTTTGTTTACTTATTATTTATGTTATGAGTATGATTTGTTGAGTATAAAATGAAAAACAAAATCATTTATATTTAATTTCTTTTTCAATAGTTTTCTAAGAAAATAAAGAAGTCTCGTTTTTTTTTTAAATTAAGAGCTTCAATTAGAGAAAATCTTCTCTTAAATTTCAATTAGGATAATTTTAGATAGAAAGTTAATTTCTGACTTATAACCTAAAAAAAAGCAAAATTAAATATTTAAATTTCAAATTTATAAAATGATCCTTTAATTATATACTTAGAGAATCTAACTCAATAAATATTGTCATTTTGCCTTTAATTCTTATTCTAGAACTCTCCTCTAATAAAAATTTCAATTCATTTTCTATAGTAACTATTTTTGTAACAAATTAGAAGTTAATTATATTTTCTTTTTGTATTCAAAACGAACATTTTTTAAAAAAAAGCACATGAGTTGGCCCTAACCCACAGGGTTTTTGAAGATATTTTGGCCTATGGACTTTTTTTACGAGAGATTTTTTGGCCCTGTTGATTTTTTTGGCCCCAACTCACGTGGGTTAGGCAATAGGGTTAGGCAATAGAGTTAGGCAATAGGGAGGTCAAATTGATGGATCTAAATAAATGTAACCTAATCATATACTTAAATTTATCGGATTTCTTCAAATTTGGTCGAATACGAATTTAAAAATTGTTGCCAAACAAAATAAATATATTAACATTTTAGTTCTCATTACCTTTTAGTGCACATATTTTGTTGTAAATCATTAAAAAGAGAGTATTTTATTAACATTTGAAACAATAAATACTATTTTAAAAATTTCAATTCATTCTACTGTATTTTTATATTCTCAAACTTTATTCTAAAGAGAATTGCTAACTAAATGTATAATTAATAAATCAATTTACTTCAAATATTTTAATTAAGTAGCAAAGAGCTTAAATATTCTTTTTTTTAAGGTAATAAACATTGGAGAAAGAGAAGTACACAGAGCAACACACTGATACTTTTAGTTTCCGTTTCCCTTCCGCCCGTATACGATACAAGAGCTACCACCGGCGGTTTCCTCCGTCAACATCTTCGCAGATTTTCCCCGGCGTCCACTATTGGCCACCGGATACGACGGTGCGTATGGCTCAGCCGCCGTTCGATCCGTACTACCTGTACCAACAAGATGATCGGAGCAACATCAACACGCTCTTCGTGTCGGGGCTCCCGGACGACGTGAAGGCGCGTGAGATTCACAACCTCTTCCGCCGCCGCCCCGGCTTCGACTCTTGCCAGCTCAAGTACACCGGCCGCGCCAACCAGGTACCACCCCTTCTCCCTTTCTTTCTTCTATATTGTGCCTATCTACTCATAACTGATGCATTCAGAGTTGGCACTCGCGTGAATTTTTTTCTGAATGGAATCAAAGTTGGCTTTCTTTTTCAGGTCGTGGCGTTTGCTACGTTTTTCAACCACCAATCGGCAATGGCAGCGCTGCACGCCTTGAATGTGAGTACCTGGTGGCGTGATCTTTATGAACGCTAGGGTTAGGAATTTATCTCGTGTTTGGATAAACATATAAGAGAAATAAAAATTAAATTTACGTATCCTATTAACCGAAAAAATTATATGTAAAAGTTAGTTTGTAGAAGCTCTTTATTTTTTAACCTATGCACAAACTATGGGAGAAACTTAATTTATTTTTAATTTCCTGTAAGTGCTTATGGAAAAATTTTAATCAGTGATGATAGCTTGAATTGATGATGATAAAGTTATTTATTTAAATTTTGTTCCTTGGAGTGAACATTTTGGTATGAGCTTCTACTATTCGGACTAAATGTAAATTGCAGTGTAGTGTGAGCTCATGCTTGTAAGGTAGTGGGATTTTGATGGAATGTGAAAAGAAATGGACTGTATTTTATTGGGGGATGTTTTCAGTTTATAGAAATTGGTCTTCAATTGAGTTCTCTTTTGGTTGATGATTCTCACCAGGGTGTGAAATTTGATCCTCAAACTGGATCTGTTTTACATATTGAACTTGCCAGGTCAAACTCTAGGAGAAAGCGAAAACCAGGTATGTATGTGTGTATATTATGCATGCATAACTAGGGATAAATAAAAAGGAAGTATCCTCAAGCTATAATGAATATGTAGCATCTTCATCTAGATATCTACTCATCTTTTTCACTTCCATTCTGTGTAGCAACTTTCCTTCAATTTCCCCCCAGTTTATGTATCTTTATGTATATTTTTTGAATTCTGGAGGAATTCAATTTGTTGTACTTTTATGGTTTAAACTTAATGCCTTTTACTTGACTTTGACTTTTCATAGGCGGTGGAGCCTACGTGGTTATAGATAAAAGGACCAAAGGGGAGCGTGATGTTCAGGGATCATCAAGTGATGATGGTAATGTTACTTTATTGAATTCAAGGCAAAGTGTGTGACTATTTTCTAAAATGTAAGCTAGATTGCTGCTATTGTCTTGTTTGCTCCCATATTTAAGTGTCCTCTTCATTTAATTTGAATGGGGCGAGTGAGATTAGAAAGGGAAAAAGGGAGAGGTGCAGCACAATGAACTTGGGTTTCATATTCTTGCACATCTTGTTTCTGTGTCTCATTCTCATATGCACATCTTTAACATTTAGGTGACAGTGACCCTGACGAACCATCAGAGAGTGACGGCAACCATGGTGATTTATCAACCATACCAAGGTTGAGAGTACAATCGTACCTCAGTTTAAATTTTTGCAAATTTTTTTGCGCAAACAGATTAAAATATACTAGTACTTTTGAATATTGTAGTGGGACACCGAGTCTATAATATTCTCTTCTTGTATGCAGTGATGATGGAGCTGTTGGTTCTGGCCATGCTATACCCGTGGTAAGTTCTAGTGAAAAACGGAAATAAGTTGGAACCCTTCTAGACTTTAGTAGAAACCATTCAATATCTTTTGTCTCAACAAATAGATTAAAATTTGTGTAGTTTGTAAAAGTTGTTACTTGCTTTTTCCTATAATATTTTTTTACTATGAAATCTTTTCAAATTGGCTGTAGGAGCAACATGAAAAGGGCAGTGCCGGAGGACTGTGTTCCACTCTCTTTATCGCAAATCTTGGCCCAAACTGCACTGAAGATGAATTAAAGCAAGCCTTTTCTTCGTGAGTTGCTCCTTGCTCCTTCTCTCCTGTTGATGAACCTGCTAAGGGCCTCTGGTGTTGTTATTCAGATTGGACCACTGCTAAGCAAGCTGATTCTTTTTATATCTAGACCGTGCAATGTTTTCCATGTACTTGGTGTTTATCATTAAACTTAATGTCTTCAATCCATGTTTTCCAGATATGCTGGATTCAACATGGTCAAAATGCGCTCTAGAGGAGGAATGCCAGTTGCATTTGCTGATTTTGAGGTTAGTTACGGTTCTGGCAGGAAATCGGTGGTGTCATTGTTAAAATGCGCTCTTCATTGCTTTGCCAACGAAGTATATTTAAGCATACATATCTGTCAAGAGAAATGCTGGTTACACTTGTTATTTGATAGACAAATATTATTGGAAATAACCACTTGTTATTTAATGATTATTTCTCATAATTTTGTAATTTTAAATTAATCTTAACCAATAATAGTGTGTGGTAGAAAATATCTGTAAATAGTGTGTCTCTAGCACACTTTATCTTTGAGATAACCTTGCCCTGTAATTTACTCGTCATAGATTATCTTGTCGACCTTCCATCTTTTGACAGGAACTTGATCAAGCTGCTAAGGTCGTGGAGGAGCTTCAGGGAAGCTTGCTTCCATCATCAGATCGGGGTGGCATGCACATAGAGTAATCTCTAACCTAACGACTTCTATTAATTGTTATTCTGCTTTGATTGGATGCTTCATATTTCTAATTTACTCTTTTATTTTTTTATCTGTGTTCTCTAGATACGCAAGGTCTAAAATGAGGAAGCATTAGGAAAAAAAGTTGGAGGTAAAACAGCTACCGGATAATTTGGCTTTTTAGATCTAAAGTAGTTGCAACATGTTAAGGGAACATTAAGAATGGACATTCCTTTAGTTATGCCTCCAATCATGTCATGGGTTAGAATTAAAGTTTTGCCAGTTGGTATAGAAGCTTGTAATACATGTTAATCACTATGTATATTGTTTCAATTTCAAATTCGTTGAGATAGTATCACTGCGATCAATCATCAGATGTGAAGATTATCTGTTTTGGAGCAAGAATTGAAACTTTTATCATAGTTTTATCCTGAAAAGATGTCTTTGCTTTGGTCGTGGGTTGGACATTGAAAGAGAGACAGAAAATTAGTGATATTTAGATAGTTTTAGGAGGAAGATATACTTTTATTATGAAAAATGTAAACCGCATCAGTAGTAATGCTAACAAACTACCCTTCATGTTCTGTTTAGTTGATTAATTATGTTTCTGAAATTTCTCTTTACGACACTTAGATTAGTTCTAAATGTCTGTTTTAACTTTAAAACTTTAGAAAATAAAATTATTTTAGATAAACTTCTGAATTTATATATTATTAGATTTGTTTAAAACTCCATAGCAAAACACCATGGTAGAGCATTGATCACGATTGTTTTGCAGTAGCCAACTGAATATCAACAATTTCAAATAGCCAACACAACGGAATTCATTTGAAATGTGACCTTTTGTCAGACTAAGGATACTCATCCATCTTGTGTCTGCTTCTGTCAAAAGCTATGGTAAACGATTGAAATGCATTACCATCGCGTAACGCTTGGGTGGAATTACCTTATTTATATAATTTGATAATCTCATCCTCATCAATTCACTGTCCAACTGAGCAGGACCTTGGTCAACGAATTTTTGTTTTTCTTAATTAAACTTGTTCATATTATATACTGAAGGGTAATTATACACAATGAAATAGTTAGATTACTAAAATTGGGTGGAGGTATTCAGATTCTATTCATAGAGAATGTAATTTATCACATGTTAAAGTGGTACCTTTTATAATAAATAGTTTTGCTTTTCTTCATACTAAATGAAAAATGTTTTATAATAAACTGTTTTTAGTAAAAACAAAAAGGTTTTGCTTTGTTTATTTCTCAAAGCGCCCTCGAAGAAACATAATGTGTAACGATGACCACGAATTTATGCCCAATCCAAGTACAAAACATAATTTGTAGAATGACAACTTAAGTGATGAATTCATCTGCTATCAATGTTCTATTACGATTTTACCGTTGCAATTCTTTTTGAACACTTGGTAGGTGGACATGTTCCGTGTTAGATCAATACAATCATTTTCAATTCATTTTTCATCTGAAGGGAATGCTAACTATTAAAGAAAAAAACATGACAATGCTGTCGTACAGTATTGAATTTCGACTGCACGCATAATAAATTCCTTTCGACCTGCAGGTGATCGTGTTTGTATTATCTACTTGCTCAGTAGCAAATCCAATTTCATAAATACTAAATTATATTATGATACAAGTTTTAAACAGGTGTTAATTAAAAAACACTTAATAAAAGAAAAAGGAAAAGAAAAGAAACAAGAAAAATATATTATCTGATGATGTGAAAATGTTCAAGAGCATATCCAAACTGAACTTATCAGAGTAGATCAATTTTGCCGCTCTCCACAAGTGCTTTTATTGATCTGTAACATATGAAATGGAGGACACCTGGCTCCATCTCAAACAGCTTCGACCTGCCAGATCAAGTGAACTAGTTTTTAACCTCTTAAAAACGAGAAAAATAAATTATTCCAAGAATACGAAAATTGCCTGTCATCAGCAGGTCCATCTTCGAGTTGAATGCCCGTGAGATACTCTTTACTTCTACATAAAACAAATGTGTCTAGTTGTGGTTCTGGGACTGAAATACACAAATATTTTGTCACGCGGACCCAAAACAATCGAAGACATCAGTTAGCAGAAGGAAAAAACATAAGTGGGGAAGATGAGGGAGAAACCCCTCTAAATCTAACTTCATTCCTCCTGGAACAGAATCCACAATTACTGATATGCACGTAAAGAATATCATTATAGCCTTCAATACAGTGTTACTGCACAATTATTTTAACTGTTCAAATTGCGCTTTCTAGATATGGAGGAAGGAAAAGAGAAAAAAAAATGAAACACTAGTTGATGTTAGCTAAGATATGTACAATGTGCTGATAAAACCTAGATCACTGACCCTTATTATACTTACTCAGATCCTAACTATTTAAGGAAAGTCTGAAAACCTGATAATCTAACACTAGAAAGGTTGGAAACTACAACAATCAATCCTAAGAGACAATGGGGAATCACGGAATTAATCCTGAACGATAGTCTAAAATACGGTAAGTATTTTTAGGTATTTCATATACTCTAACACCAATGATGGAAGGGTGCACAATACAAGGGTTTCAAGAACTTCAAAAACTAATTTTCCGTCAAAAATGCGAAGATTAGTGCCCAAAATCTTATTTTAGAAAGCTGGATACTGCAAGAAAAAGCTACAAGCATGAAGGCCAAATTAATCAGAAAACTACTACAGAACTCATCGTCAGACTTTTCAATCAAGAAATGTAAATTATTTCATGCCACTAACAAGATATGAAACTTGATCTCATTACAAACTGGTGAGTTTTAGGCAGAGCCAATTTGATTACTCAAAAAGACACACAATGGAGAATGAAGTAACGAAACAAAATAACCTAAATTGTCTTCTAACTTATAAGGATGAAAAATTACCCATGTCGTCTTCTTCGCTTGTTATAGATTGCTTTAGAACAGACTGGTAATTTTCTGGAAGCTTCGACAGGACAGTCACCTCTAGATGTTGGTTTAGGTCACTTGTACACCTGCAACAAGAAAATCATATTCAAAACCCGCAATAAAGATGCTTTAATGCTGTAAAACATTGCTAGCCAAAACAATTCATCAAAAAAAAAAAGTAAGCCTTACGTGCTGGCGAAATCTTTCTCGTCTTTGGATAGCCTGGACCAAAGTTCTTCGGTTTTTAGGATGTGGAACATGTACTTCTCAATCTACAATAGACACATGGTTGTAAAAATAAAATAAAACAAAAAATTCAATGGACAGAGAAATTGGTGAAGTCAATTTCCAGTTTGGCTAGTATTCAAATAGTTCAGCAACTAACGCCCACCCTAATTGTTTTAACCCATTATAGAGGTACGCAGGTAGTAAAAGTGAAAGCCGCAAAACTATTATTAGGGAAAAAAATATCCGGCAAAAGAGAGTCCACGAAAAAAAATTAATATTCATCTGGATTATGTTTGGGTTAACTTTTCATAAATGTATTAAGAGAAGAAAAAAGTGAAACAAATTTCTTCATAAGCTAAAACTAATTAAAAAAAAAGTTAAAAATCTAATTGTAGAGAAAATAATGAGAATTTGTATAAAAACTTAATTTTAATGTATAGGGAAATTTAATTCTTTTTTTCCTTCTAAAGGTGTTTATATAGAAGTTAATTCAAACATTTCTCTAGTGCAATAGTCATGCAGCCATTGCTAATACTTAAGGTAGATTAAGACTGTCCACTCGGAGTTTTTTCACCTGTTCAAAAAACTGCTATTTCTGTTGCCACGACCACAGTTCGACCCCAGACGAATCAGTCTCATTCAAAGTTTTAAATAGCACCGACTGACAGTTGCATTTGAAATTTCGTTGCCTTGATATTACAAGGAAATCGCAAACAAAATATGATGGATGCTGTCACAATTGCATGAACTTACAAAACCTTAGCATTACCTCCAAAAGTTCTATTAGCAAACTTCACAAATGACTTGTAAGATGAAATTTGTAGTTAATTATACCCTAAAATTTGAGTTTATCTCAATCTAGTAAGTCCAACTGCAGAAACTTAAAAAAAAATTACGGCGAAAATTAAGAGCACTGTTAAAAGCCTTTTGATGAATTTGTCCATAATTGTCCACAACTTGAAGGAATTGAGAATTAACAGGCATAACAACACGGAAGGTGGCTACCTTCTGTATGCGGATGCGGAGATAGGATCTCAACAGAAATTGGGTTCTGTCCAAGTCCATCTGATACAGAGACACTGAGAGAGGATCATTACCGACGCTGGATTTCTCCTCCACGGTTTCCTCCTACACAAACAGAAACAAACAAACGAATAAAAATCGGGAGCAAGAGAAGATTGGTTAGGGTTTGAGGTATGAGAAGTTGGGTACCATGAGTTGAATCTGTTCCTTGACGCGGGAAATCAAACGATATTCGTAGCGGAGAATCTCCGGCGCCGCCTTCTCGTTGCGCCATGCACGCTTCAGAAGCTCCACATCGGTGGTTGCAATCAAGGAAGCGTAATCGTCCAGTGACGCTTCTTCTGCACCAGAGCTTGAAGCCATTGATTCTTCGATTCAAGGGTTTGCTTTTCTTTCGCTTTAGCCTTCCAACAATAAATTGGCGCCAAATCCCAAATTGGGGATAGAGTGTGGGAGTGCCTACTAATTTAAAAAATATAAGATACGAATATTTTTTTAACTTAAAAATAAAAAAAATTATAAATAGCATTTTTTTTTTAAACAAGAGTTCTTTACTGATATTTCAATAAATAATATTTTTTAACTAAGCATTATCTGATATGCTTTTACTATGCATGCATATTGGCGGGCTTCAAAGTTGAACAAATTTATAAAACAAACTAAATTGACGTGATCTGTAAATTTATAAATCGACTTATTTTATAAAGTAATTAGTATATTTTTATATTTACTTTTAATGTGTGTTTAATGATCTAATTATCAAATTCTAAAATATATTACTGAATTTATGTAGACGATACCTTTCTAGTTAAGGTTTAAGGACTTTTGCTCTTATTTTAGTGTGAATTTTTTTAGTTTTTTATTATACAATACATTTATTGTCTTGTTAGAATCTTGTATTACATCATCTGGTCAACTAAGAATCAGACAGTAAACCATTTAGTGAATAAATAATCAATTGGTCTATGATAGTCATTAATTGATAATTATTCTAAACAATTATAACTATTAGTGAACACTTAAATAGAATAATAGTGATTGATTGGAAACTAATAGAAACTTAATGGTAATGGTAAGTTTATTATAATATTTATAAATATATGTTTCAGGTAATTAGTTTTGATCTTTATTAGAATATTAATACCCAAAGTTATTGACTTGAGCATTAGGATTGACTTGAGCATTAGGATATCTTTGA